GACTTGCCCCAAACGTACAAAAATCTGTTTCCCTGCCCGATCGGGTTGCCCTACGTGCCGCTTACAGACCGATAGTAACTATTCAGAAAGAAAGTTTATGCCTTACGTGCCGCTTGAAGACCGTTTAGGAGTTATAAGAACTGCCCCAAACATACAAAAATCTGTTTCCCTGCCCGATCGGGTTGCCCTACGTGCCGCTTACAGACCGAGAGTAACTATTCAAAATAAAGGTTTATTCCCTACGTGACGCTTGAAGACCGTTTAAGAATTATAAGGACTGCCCCAAACGTACAAAAATCTGTTTCCCTGCCCGATCAAATTGCCCTACGTGCCGTTTACAAACCAATTATCTATCTGAAAGACAGTTCATGCCCTACGTGCCGCTTGAAGACCGTTAAAAAATTACAAGAACTGCCATAACATACAAAAATCTGTTTCCCTGCCCGATCGGGTTGCCCTACGTGCCGCTTACAGACCGATAGTAACTATTTAAAAAGAAAGTTTATGCCTTACGTGCCGCTTGAAGACCGTCAAAAAATTACAAGAATTGCCCCAAACGTACAAAAATCTGTTTCCCTGCCCGATCGGGTTGCCCTACGTGCCGCTTACAGACCGATAGTAACTATTTAAAAAGAAAGTTTATGCCTTACGTGCCGCTTGAAGACCGTCAAAAAATTACAAGAATTGCCCCAAACGTACAAAAATCTGTTTCCCTGCCCGATCGGGTTGCCCTACGTGCCGCTTACAGACCGATAGTAACTATTCAGAAAGAAAGTTTATGCCTTACGTGCCGCTTGAAGACCGTTTAGGAGTTATAAGAACTGCCCCAAACATACAAAAATCTGTTTCCCTGCCCGATCGGGTTGCCCTACGTGCCGCTTACAGACCGAGAGTAACTATTCAAAATGAAGGTTTATTCCCTACGTGACGCTTGAAGACCGTTTAAGAATTATAAGGACTGCCCAAACATACAAAAATCAGTTTCCCTGCCCGATCGGGTTGCCCTACGTGCCGCTTACAGACCGATAGTAACTATTCAGAAAGAAAGTTTATGCCTTACGTGCCGCTTGAAGACCGTTTAGGAGTTATAAGAACTGCCCCAAACATACAAAAATCAATTTCCCCGCCCGATCGGGTTTCCCTACGTGCCGCTTACAGACCGAGAGTAACTATTCAAAAAGAAAGTTTATGCCCTACGTGCCGCTTGAAGACCGTCAAAAAATTACAAGACTTGCCCCAAACGTACAAAAATCTGTTTCCCTGCCCGATCGGGTTGCCCTACGTGCCGCTTACAGACCGATAGTAACTATTCAGAAAGAAAGTTTATGCCTTACGTGCCGCTTGAAGACCGTTTAGGAGTTATAAGAACTGCCCCAAACATACAAAAATCTGTTTCCCTGCCCGATCGGGTTGCCCTACGTGCCGCTTACAGACCGAGAGTAACTATTCAAAATAAAGGTTTATTCCCTACGTGACGCTTGAAGACCGTTTAAGAATTATAAGGACTGCCCCAAACGTACAAAAATCTGTTTCCCTGCCCGATCAAATTGCCCTACGTGCCGTTTACAAACCAATTATCTATCTGAAAGACAGTTCATGCCCTACGTGCCGCTTGAAGACCGTTAAAAAATTACAAGAACTGCCATAACATACAAAAATCTGTTTCCCTGCCCGATCGGGTTGCCCTACGTGCCGCTTACAGACCGATAGTAACTATTTAAAAAGAAAGTTTATGCCTTACGTGCCGCTTGAAGACCGTCAAAAAATTACAAGAATTGCCCCAAACGTACAAAAATCTGTTTCCCTGCCCGATCGGGTTGCCCTACGTGCCGCTTACAGACCGATAGTAACTATTTAAAAAGAAAGTTTATGCCTTACGTGCCGCTTGAAGACCGTCAAAAAATTACAAGAATTGCCCCAAACGTACAAAAATCTGTTTCCCTGCCCGATCGGGTTGCCCTACGTGCCGCTTACAGACCGATAGTAACTATTCAGAAAGAAAGTTTATGCCTTACGTGCCGCTTGAAGACCGTTTAGGAGTTATAAGAACTGCCCCAAACATACAAAAATCTGTTTCCCTGCCCGATCGGGTTGCCCTACGTGCCGCTTACAGACCGAGAGTAACTATTCAAAATGAAGGTTTATTCCCTACGTGACGCTTGAAGACCGTTTAAGAATTATAAGGACTGCCCAAACATACAAAAATCAGTTTCCCTGCCCGATCGGGTTGCCCTACGTGCCGCTTACAGACCGATAGTAACTATTCAGAAAGAAAGTTTATGCCTTACGTGCCGCTTGAAGACCGTTTAGGAGTTATAAGAACTGCCCCAAACATACAAAAATCTGTTTCCCTGCCCGATCGGGTTGCCCTACGTGCCGCTTACAGACCGAGAGTAAGTATTCAAAAAGAAAGTTTATGCCCTACGTGACGCTTGAAGACCGTTTAAGAATTATAAGGACTGCCCAAACATACAAAAATCAGTTTCCCTGCCCGATCGGGTTGCCCTACGTGCCGCTTACAGACCGATAGTAACTATTCAGAAAGAAAGTTTATGCCTTATGTGCCGCTTGAAGACCGTTTAGGAGTTATAAGAACTGCCCCAAACATACAAAAATCAGTTTCCCTGCCCGATCGGGTTTCCCTACGTGCCGCTTACAGACCGAGAGTAACTATTCAAAAAGAAAGTTTATGCCCTACGTGCCGCTTGAAGACCGTCAAAAAATTACAAGACTTACCCCAAACGTACAAAAATCTGTTTCCCTGCCCGATCGGGTTGCCCTACGTGCCGCTTACAGACCGAGAGTAACTATTCAAAATGAAGGTTTATTCCCTACGTGACGCTTGAAGACCGTTTAAGAATTATAAGGACTGCCCAAACATACAAAAATCAGTTTCCCTGCCCGATCGGGTTGCCCTACGTGCCGCTTACAGACCGATAGTAACTATTCAGAAAGAAAGTTTATGCCTTACGTGCCGCTTGAAGACCGTTTAGGAGTTATAAGAACTGCCCCAAACATACAAAAATCTGTTTCCCTGCCCGATCGGGTTGCCCTACGTGCCGCTTACAGACCGAGAGTAAGTATTCAAAAAGAAAGTTTATGCCCTACGTGCCGCTTCTAGACCGATAGTAACTATTCAGAAAGAAAGTTTATGCCTTACGTGCCGTTTGATGACCGTTTAGGAATTATAAGAACTGCCCCAAACATACAAAAATCTCTTCCCTGCCCGATGGAATTGCCCTACGTGCCGCTTACACACCGATACCCAGTTGAAACCAGCGGGACTCAGTTACATAAGCAAAAGCAAGGCTGTTGTTAAATAGACTTTTCCAAAAGTACCAGCGAGACTAAGTTATTCACGCACTGTCTTGTGTACACGCGGAAGCAAGATAATCCTAAAGTGACTGTTGTTAGAGCATTTTTACGAAGAGTTGAGAATATAGATGAATTTAGCTCAAGTCACGCTTTCACGCAATTTGGCATCATTTCAAAAGCAACTAATAGGAGTAGAACATATTTGAAAGACACATTCTGGGATAATAACAAGTTCAATTTTGAAAAGCTGGTACAAATAACACACCCGGACACTGGCGTCACGGTCTCAAAATTATTGCGACACTCATGATTGCCTTTCGAAACCCGTGTGACCCTATTACGAAAATATGCTTGGTCACTCTTTTGAAATTTGGCAGCGTTCCAAAACGCATGCCACTTGGCAGGAATCCAATTCCAAAGATCAGTGTATCATCATAATTTTTATGTCTGCGGCCTCCTCGTTTGCCATGATCCAACTATCGGGCGGCTTAATGGGTAAACAACGAATTCGTTATATATTACGTAGTGATCAACATAATTTGCTGACCGGCGGATAGAGCAAGCATTTCGCAATTCAGGGTCTTTTTTCAGTCTGCGCGGCCTTTTGAAATCAATAAAGGTAACATTTTGTCGTGACCAAATCCGTTAGAGGGAATTTGAGCCTCAGATTAACGATGCTTCTCCACTGCGTGATATTTCGGAGAAGTTTCAGACTGTGGAGAAAGCTTCTTGGAGATTCGCGGGAATTGCAAAACCATCCATGTGCGCATGGCTGTACCAGAAAATTTTAGACATCAACATTACAAAGCTGTGATTGCTCTACTTTGTGAGAATAGTGCTTGTTGCTGATCGAGTTCGGAAAGCCTTGTCGAAAGCGAATTTGGAACACAAGCATAGAAAGATCGGCGTTTGAAACTTCAAACAAGTAAAAAAACAGTTCGTGCTCGCTGTCGCGCTCGGCGAGGAAAACTGCGCGTCGCTGCCGCGTTGCCGATCAGGTTACGCTTGTGCGTTTCGAATTCGTCGAAAAGTTTAGGTCAAAATGTTACCTCGGCATGCGTTTTCTGTGACCTACGAGCAGCTGATTACATTCTCTTGCTTTGATTTGACATAGGTTGCCTTTACGGTTGACCATGTGCGTTTTTCTAAATGTGGACTCCTCAAGTGTTTCCGTCGACAGTGCCTGTTGTTTGTTTTTAACTGAGAGGCCAGTAATCACATGTGTTTTTTCTCCATCTCCTGAGTGAATATTACGTACCGAACGACTGATCTAGTGATCAACCAATGCTTTCTGATATTCATCGTCAATAATTGCATGCATGTCTCTCAATATTTCGAAAATGTGTGCGCGCAGACTTTATCATGACGCAAATGTTGCTTCACATTATAAATTTCACTGCTTTTATTAAGTATCGCTTTTTTGGTTGTTAAAACGCTTTCGTAACTCTCATGCTAAAACGCTAGCTAATATCTGATAGGTCTTGCTTTGTAAGTAGCCTTTTCAGCCCCAGTTTGCTAGCGTAGGCGCTGTTGTTGGTCAAAATGTTTGTACGTGGCGCAGCAGTTTTGACTGGGTATTGCGGAGCTTCCCGCAAATCCGAATTATAAGACGCTTGTAATATTGCAGTACTTTTTGATATTGCTGTTGTTATGTGGCGCTTCCCATTATTGGGATCAAATTCATGTTTTCAGGTGCTCAATCTGGGTGCTTTTTAATCGTGGAGCTAACTACCAGTTGTACGCATGGGTAAGATATTTTTTCCTTGCAGACGCTATAATTATGTACTTTTGAGTTTGCGTTTTCTCAATATTACCTTTGTGATTCTGAAGACATCCAACTTTTTGTCGTCCAGCAAGATGTTCTTATGGAAGTTTCTCGAATACTCCATGATACTTCTGTAAGCAAGGCCTTTAGCTTATGTTTTACGTGCGCAAATGACCATGAATAGGAATCTGATAGAGTAATGAAGTACACTTCAAAGGGAATATTCTCATTGTACATTGTTTATGGCTGCTCATGTGCCTGCCCTTAGTTTCAGCAACGCTTTCTGATTTTTGCGAAACCCTCAATTGCATAACACGTAAGTTCAAAGACAACAAGTCCGAAAATGGTAGCATTTGTGTTACGTGCCGGGTTCATGCTCTTGTCTGGTACAGCATCTTTTGAATGTAGTAATGTTGCTATACGCCTTCACTACAGCTTAATATCGCGTGAAGTTAACTAGGGCTGGATTTGTGTTTGTCTCAATTGAAAAGTAAAGGGAGCGCCATATCATTTGAGATATCACGAAATTCGGTGTCGAAGGAGGAGGAGGTAGATTCATCTTGGTGCGACACTAACAATAAATTAGGAATTTTACCGTATACCTAATTCATTTGGGTCCATTCGTCTGCTGCATCATAGTAGAAGGAAATGAAAAACCATTATCAATTTGCTCATAACTTTACATATTATGCGCAGATTTGAGTTTAGCACAACTACAGTGGATTGCGGAAAAAGAAGAACACATTTTTTTGTGAGTGTTTTTTGTCACTTGAGCTCTATATGGTGAAGTATTCGCGAAAACTGCCAACAAAAGGCACAGCTAGCATTTTTTAACTGGCCAGTTTTAGCTTACCATTGAAAACGAAACAAAAGTGTCTTCCTTTTAGTGTTTCATTTCGTAGTAGTGGAATGATGGATCCAAAAATACAGTTTTGAGTGGCTTATAGTTCTTTTTCGAAATGCAATCTTCTTTGCAGTAAAATACATCATTCAGCACCAAGGCTTTGGCCCATCCTCTCAGTATGATGCGAACAGCTGATTTGCAAAGGGCACTCAATTTATGTTGATCTGTAGTTTCATATAGTTCCTTTTCATTATGTATATGCACAATTTTATTTGCTAACTCAGTCGTTAGTATGAGACTGGTATGATTTCATTTAGCTATGAATCGCGAGAACGTGGTCAGTGCTCTGCAAGCCACAACCGTAGGCGACAATCAGAAGGTGGAGTCTTTTCTTGATGAGGTGGGATTATATATATTTAGAATAGACTCGCGTTTTTACACTTACTTAGAAACTATGAGATATAGCGTCAGTCGGCACTACTCAATCGGAGTGTATGTTGCAGCGAACCGGCTCGCAAGATGCCAAAAGCGAGGTAGCGAGCCGACGTACCACTACCTCGTCGAGTGATGGTGCCGACTGGCGTACTTTGCGCATGCTCACAAGCGATGATTGTGACGATGATGATGCTCCCGAGACGGTAGCCACCAGTGGCGAACATATCTGCGCTTTAATGGACCGATGGCGAACTGCTGCCCGCAGAGCTCGTCTCTGTACAAATGATCCTTGGTCGCATTTTTTTATCTGTGAAGTCCCTATAACTCGTGCTAAACGTTATCGATACTCATCGATTAGGAAAACGTGGAAAACAGATATAATCGAGGTGCGCTTACATCCCGAGCCATTTGCTCGGGGCGCAATGAGGGAATGTTATCGACTGAAAAAGCTTCCTTCTAACAGTTATGTCAATGACTGGAAACTTGCGCACAACTATGTAGCGAAGAAGTACATCCAGGAGGTCGATCGGTCAGTTCTTTTTGAAGATGTGAAACTGCAGATGGATGCGAAGTTGTGGGCTGAGGAATTCAATCGTTATGACCCACCGAAGAAAATAGACATAGTGCAAATGTGTGTACTTGAAATGATAGATATGCCATCAGAGCCTTTGTTCCACCTTGAGCATTACATCGAAGGCGATTACATCAAATATAATTCAAATTCAGGCTTTGTTTCTGATATCGCTCGCAAAACGCCTCAAGCTTTTTCTCATTTCACTTTCGAGCGATCCGGTCATCAGATGATTGTTGTTGATATTCAAGGCGTTGGAGACCTTTACACGGATCCGCAGGTGCATACCGTTCTTGGAACAGACTATGGGGATGGTAACTTGGGCACCCGGGGAATGGCTCTGTTTTTTCATTCTCATAAGTGCAACGATATCTGCCACTCCCTGTGCTTGACGGAATTCGATTTATCACGAGCGGAGTATCGCGAATTGATCCGTGGAACATGCGTCACCAAGGCGAATCAATCCACTGTGTTTACGCGCACTGTTAGCGCTTGCTCAGCTCTCGTGCCTGAGCTAAATCAAGAGGATGCAATGGAATGCCTTCGACTACGTACTTTATCTTTCCGAAGTCGTGTGTCCTCAGTGGACGACCTCAAGCTTGGACCAGATCTCAGAGAAGAAGTGCATGATGCTGATTGCGTTTGCGAAGCTTGTCTTGCTGAAGTGACTTCTGATGTGGCCAGCGACCCGTTTGATGAGAGCACGGACGGTTACGAAGTTGGTGAAGAGCGCCCATGTCCTGTGATAAAAGTGGGGTTCTACAATCAGTCTTCAGAACGACCACTACGTAGCGAGAGCTGTTCAAGTTCTCTTGGAAGTTCCTCGAGAATCACGCGTGACACAGAGAAGGAAGAATACTGGGTTGATGCTCGACGAAAATCTGTACCAGCTGGAGTTCTCTCAGCCATGGAAATAGAGCAGCTCACTGAATCTTCGAAGCTCACTCAGAATGTTTCCATACTAGGCCAGATTCATTTGGACATGGCTCGATATCACGAAATTGGTAGGTTTTTGCCGGAGAAAACCGCTGAAGAGAAGCGTGCTATTCCGTTGAGTAATCTGGATACTGACATCAGCTCATGGGATGACTCCGTCGACTACGATAAGGAGTCCGCTTATTTCCATCTCGACATAGCGAGACGATGTGGCGTATTAGAAGCAATCATCACTATTGCTCAAATGGCGTACAGATTACCCCACGACCTCCTCAAAGATGTTGGTGACGACCGTATTTTGGTTGAAAATGGAGAAGAAAGGGAAGATTTTGACAGAGAAGAATTTGGCTTTGAACTCATGGAAACAGCTGCTGAAATGGGAGACCGTAATGCTATGCTATTCGTGGCTGAATCGTTTGAAACCGGCCGAAGAATGGGTCCGAATGCGCAGCCAAGCTATCCGGATGCGATAAGATGGTATGAGAAAGTGGTAGGATTCACTGATGATGACTCAGTCGAAGGTGTCTTGCTTCCTCGTTATGAGATACTAGCGAAAATGGCTCAGATGTATCAGGAAGGAGGATGTGGTCTTGTGCAGAATTTTGAACTTGCATATAATTTATATACGGAAGCTGCTGAAGTAGCTATAGAAGCAATGAAAGGGAAAATTGCCAACAAATACTATGAGCAGGCCGAGATGTGTTCTCGGTGAAGATTTTTTCTAAGCACTTCTCCTTCTGGCCTTTATGTCGGGTATTCTTTCGCCATGCTCTTTTAACAGCTCGGGAACTCTTTGTCTTCATTCACCTTATGATATATTTAGTCATACATGCTTATATACATTTATATTGATCTATTCATTGGTGAACCGGTAAAAGGTTTCTTTCCAATAAAGAAATGGTACTGATGCAAAGTTATGCTTTCTCATCTATACTATCAAAGTAATGGCTCATCAGTCTTTTTCTGTGAGATAACAGCGTTGAGACTTCTGTGTAGCAGCTTCTGTTCATATTGGTCGACGTTAGGGTCAAGAATAATGATTGCCATGGTGACGCGTGGGCGCCTCTGTGTTAATATAGGATGAGCAAGTAGCCTTGCCCCAGCCAGCAGACCAGTTCTTCAGAGCGTGATCTTTCCATAGTTGTATGTTGAATCTGACGCTCGGAGGTAGCTGCAAATAAGCGTAACTCCTACGGTGCCGATATGCCGCAGTTATAGTCGTCCTTTATGGAGCAATATGTTCTTTGCTGGATTGAAAATGCTGTCGAAAAGTAAGGACGCGCCATACTTGATCCGATTACCCACTTCGCCATTGGTCAGTTTGCTGATTTTGCTGATTTGACCGATGGCGAAGTGGATGAAGCGGATCAAGTATGGCGCGTGTCTAGGAGTTAAGGGCTTTCTGAAGTCCCTGTGATTTTTCCAGATTCTTGAATATTATCATAGCTTAAATATAATATACGTCATCTGTCTAGTCACCTGGGTGCGGCTTGTGCCAATACCAAGATTTCGAAATTCCGGATAGGAAGCCCTAAGCTCGCCTGTGCTACTTGCACACAAGGGGACATACGGCTAGATTGATGACACCGAAATGATTTGTTCGCAATTTTTATGTTGTTTTCTTGCCGCCAGCTTCACGCATCGTCTATATTATGGGACATTTGGAAAATCGTGACGGTGGCACTACCGCGCGCGACACGCATGCACTTCCTTTCTTGGTGTCTGTCTCTACTCGAATGGTTTTTCTGCTTCCATGTGATAGTACACTGGAAGTGATTGAGCTGGACGTTGAGATGAGTCTGTTTGTATAGGTGTTTTATGCTCATGTGTGCGCGAAGACCGCAGTTAAACTCGTCATCACGATTTCAAGAATGAACTATATGTTGATTCAACTCCAAAGAGCGTCATGTGTGCCCTTTCGAATCAAGATCTCAGAAGTTTCTTACTTTTACTCCCAGAAAAAAGAGGAATATGGGCAGTTGCACGTGACTCTAACGTAAGTTTGCTGGCAGTAGTTGCCTAATGTATGGATGCGTAGAGCATTTTTGGGTAAGCCTGAATCTCAACTCCCTTATTAGCTGTCACTAGGGGTTTTAGTGAGTTTTATGCTGTTTTTCTTGAGGAGTCTAAGGCCAGTATGCACTAACATTTTTGCGGCGAGGGGAGCGGCGTCCCCCGTTATGAAGGGACCGCGTGCGAACGCCGCTGCGGCTTTTTCATCATTGGGGACGCCGCTCCCCTCGCCGCAGGGATGTTAGTGCATGCGGCCCTAAGGGTTGCATACACTAACATCCCCGCTGGGGAGAGGATCGCAGCTTAAAACAAGCTTCGTATACTGGAGCGTCAGATATGTGGATTTCATGCAGTCTACCTATCCGTTAGTTTTCCCACCATCCTTCACTATGAACATATTGAAGGCGAGCGAGAAATTGTACAAGCCGCATTATCCAGCTTTTTTTGTGGTCCCCTGACGATCCCCCGCGGCCGACCATCTTTTCTTCAAAGTCATTTTTCTTCCTTCGAAATCAACGAAAGCCTTCCAAGTTGTACTGATTAACTAAACCAACAGTGCTAGCATGTTGCTGATAAAAACAAATGATTTTTTGTAGAATCCATTTTTCGGCAAACCCAAACTTCCAATTTGTGGTTCATCTCAGATTTCATGAATTCGAAACATCACTGTTGGGTAAATCAGTACAACTTTGGTAGGTTCGCGAACTTCGAAGGAAGAAAAATGACTTTGAAGAAAAGATGGTCGGCCGCGGGGGATCATCAGGGAATTATACAGAAAGCCGGAGAATACGGCTGCTACATCTTCTTGCTCCTGTTCAATATGTTTATAAAGTAGGATGGTAGGAGTAGTTACGGATGGGTAGACAGCGTGAAATATCTGTAGCTTTAAGACATGAAGCTTCTTTTAAGCTGCGATTTTCTCCCCAGCGGAGATGTTGTGGTCGTCCTCCTCCCACTAGACACTTAGGGCCGCATGCACTAACATCGCCGCGGGGCGGGGATCGCAGCTCAAAAGGAAGCTTCATATTTCGAAACTCCAGATACCTGGATTTCGCGTTGTGTACCTATCCGTAAGTATTCCTACTACCCTTCACTATGAACATGTTGAACAGGAGCGAGATGCTGTACATACCGCATTTTCCAGATTTTGTATGATCCCTGGTGATCCCCGGCGCTTTTCTTCAAAATCATTTTTCTTTCTCCGAAGTTAACGAAAAACTTCCAAAGTTGTGCAGATTATCTAACCCATCAGTGCTAAGCATGTTGCTGATAAGAACAAATGATGTTTTGAAGTCATGAAATTTTCGATGATCCACAGGTCGAAATTTGAGGTTTACCGAAAAATTCGATTTTCAAAAACTCATTTGTTCTCATCAGCAACTTGCTTAGCACTGTTGAGTTAGATGTTCAGTACGGAAGGTTTTCGTTAACATCGGAGAAAGAAA